GCAGGGGTGAAGAGCCGGCGAGTCTCGCGCCAACGTGGACCGTAGGGAAGCAGGGCCGTCAAGCGGTCCCATCCGACCAGTCGTCCCATGAAGGTCAAGCGAGGCCTGTCCGAATACATGGAGGTCTTCCGTTCAAGCATGTCGACTGCTGTCTTGTGTGAACCCACAATGACCAAGGGTTGTCCTAGCAGGTCTATCTGCATGATGTTACCTGGCACGGCCTACGTTTCAGCGCATACAGCGACAAAGTTAAACGTAGCACGTACCCCATCGTGCGCTCCATTCGGCGAAGGTGATCCAAGGTTGCGGCGTGCGCAGGTCCAGTATGTTACCGATGAAAGGCCAGCCTGTAGGACCGGGCGGCACCGAGCCTGGACGCCTGTGCCTCAGAGCCACCGCGATTCCGAACAGGAGACCGGCGAGGACTAAGTATACAATATAGACAAGAAAATACATAGCTGGAATGAATCACTCAGTGACAGTGTAGGATCCTCGGGGAGACGAGGAAGGGTGGAAACGTTGCGGGGACTATGAACTCGAGTACTTATAAAACACAGCACGTCGAGACAAGCCGGACTGATGCGTGCCGCAAGAGTCCGGGCCGTTAATTTGTGGTCCTTGGACGGATGGGTTATCCGGAAACGGGGCCACCCAGAAATGCCCAGCGGGTGCACCGCACTTCTTTCATTGGCTCATGGATCAGTCTGAAGTGAGACAAAACAGCGCGGGCCTTCTGGTGCGCTACAGGCACCGGATGTGATCTATCCGCCGGTGTCCATCACCGCAGAAACCTCTGCATCATTGTTCGCATGAGTGTCATCTAACTTTGTATGACCGCGCGCTGCAAATGCGGACCTTGTGTATGAGAACAGGTCGTTCCCGCGTGCTGGTGTGCCAAGTAGGACACTGCCCGCATCACCAAGCGTGTCCCGTCAACGTCGGGGAGTCGGGGCGGGGCCGGCCGGGAGGACTCATCATGGCAACGCACGACGACGCAACAGCTGCGCGGGACTTTGTTCGCACGTGGAGGCGCAACACGACCATTTGCCATTTGGTGTTTGAGAAGAACCGAGCAGGAACCGAGCCTATCGGGAAGAGATCCACGAACGATCAGGCGCCTCAGCTCCTGTTCGACCGAAAAGTCCGGACTGAGAACCGCTGGCCCGCGGTCGCGTAACTGAAAAGTAATGTAGAGATGTTTTCCAGGACACCCGGCTTGTCCCGGCCCCCTTGACAACGGTAGAGATAACGCCTTCGCAGACCAGATCAATACTAGATTGACTTCGCATTGAGTACACGGAAGGAAATCGAGTATATCCATTCGCCTGTGTGTGGGCAATCATACCGTACCAGAGCGTCGCTCGTGTGGGAGTCGCTCATGGCGAATGATGGAGATGACATGCGAAGCTACTCCGGAGTCCGGGTAGGGCTTTGAAAGCCCCAGATGGGAGCAGATCCTACTAGGTACTCCGAGAATCAGGAGAAAGTAAGACACCGAACGAATCTTCCAACCGATCCGCTCGGCTTCATTGAGGCTCGCTACCCCTTGGCTCCATCCCAAAAGGGCTAGTGGAGCGAGCGGTGTACAATCAGAACAAAAGTGAGAGCGATGGCTCATCGTGAGATGCATCACCGAAGGCCATCAAGCAAAGGCACATGATTGGAATGCATAATGAAGCGGCCTAGTCACGACTAACGGGGCAGCTCACCTTCCAAGCACCTACCCCTCGCCGATCGGCCACCGGAGACGACGTCAAGCTTCACGATTCATTGCGAAGTAGATTTTCTCTCACGTAGAGACAACGGTGACACCGGACAGCGTCTGTGTATGGCAGACGATGGGCATACGATGGGTGTTCGGGTTCAAATTAGGACCTATAGTAAAAACCCCATTGGTCAGTCAGTGACATTTCCAAAACATACGCAGTACACCAGCCGATTGAAACGGAGTCCCATCACAAGGCATACGTACGATCCGCTCACGGCCGACGGAAACCGTCATCGTGGTCGGCCAGTCGCATAAACTTGGAATTGAAGTAGAACTCTAGAATACGCTCGTGTCCGTAATGGGGCAGTGCGCCAACAAAGTTCTATCTTCGACGACGGCCGCATCAGGCTGCCTGCGTTCACCCACGAGGCTTGTTCCGTAAGGCCGAGAGACGGATGGGGCCATGCTGCGCGAACGTGTTGTTTTGCGAAACAAAAGGAGGTAGCATGGTTTGTGTCAGCGGGGCGCCCATTCTCCATTGGAACTCTGGACCTGCGCACCACTCACACGAGCTCCAAACAATAATGGAGATGAAGAAGATCCGAGCCTTCGACTGCATCGGGGCCGACTTGACCGCAGGCGAATTCTACATGGGGATGGCGGAGAGGCGATCGAACATTGCTTCACGAAACGTCAGCTACCACGGAACGTCAGCTAAGAAAAGTATCACCGCTGCTGAGGACCCTCCCCGTGGAAGATGCGCTCATAATGTGACTCATCCGGTGCGGATATCGGACGCCCTTCGATGACCAAAGGGACTGTGACTCCACCGGGAATACTTGCTGTTGAACAAACGGGGAGTGTAAGTGTGCGCCGCAGGCGCTATGCTCGTGAAAAGACGTACCTCTGGGTCATGGCCCCGCCCTTACGGAAGAGACAGTCGCGATGCTCGCGCTGTGCTTCGCCGTTATACGCTTCCATTCTATGTCTGTTTGTCAACCTACACCGCTGCACGGCTATGATTATCAAAGTCTGCGGAGAAACTCTTCGGTTATCGAGCCTGTGTCTCAATTGAGACCACTGTGGGACACGCGTCTTGACAGTGCTCAACGATCCTCGCTCCTACATGCTGCAGCGGTCTTCGACGTGTTATCACACTGCCAGTGACTGTGTAATGTTGTGAACTCACCTGGCTAGTAGAGGGCTTCCCCTAGATTCGACAAGGCCTCACAATAGCTCGAGGTACACATTCCCTGCGATGTTTTATTGAAGGCGGTTGACACTAAGTAGTGCGGAAGCAAAGATGAATGTGACGGTAAGTTGCCGGTCCCTTTGTGGCTGAAGCCGCCGGCAATATCCGAGACCCTACCTCGCGCCACAAAGCCTTCGTACCGTGACGAGCGCTCTCTTGGGACGAACGACAGTGACCACACCCACCAGTACTGAGTACACGAGCATGTCGCGAACTGGTCTTGTAATCATCGACCTCTCCTTCCAGCCGTGATACAGCCTCAAAACGTTTCTGCTCAGAGGTCGGCGAATGTCGACGCTAAGGGGCAGATCATCAGGTTGTCGGAGCATAGTCAACTTGAAGGTACTCTCGACGACCAGACGCAGGTAAGCTGAAAGATACTACTTCTCTGTAACAAGCTGGTCTGATTCACTTTATTAGGGATGGGCAGCCTGTGCAACGCCCTGTTGCGCGATTTTCGCGTGCGACGCGTCGACAGCAGACATCTGTTGGACTTGCGATTTTCGCGCAGCGACATATACAGCGACCGTACACGAGGCAGTCGACGTCTTAGTCTTTGGACTCCGGAATATCAATCTGTGTTCTTATCGCACACCCATGATCCTGAGCAAACCAAGTACTTCACTCGTGTTCGGTAAGCACAGTGCATATCTTACACCCACCGCACAACGATCGCTCTCTGACTCATCCAGTGATTTCTGCACAGGCGCAGCTACGTGCTGGCGGGGAACCGTTCGTTCCGCCCTGGTGCGGCGACGTGGGCTAGTCCGAATGCCCGCACGCTCTGAGCTACTCGGACAGGCATGAGAAAGAAATCTCTTGATCAGGATCAAGTTCTCCTGAGATCGTGGCCCTCGCCTGTCATGCCCACAATAGCTGATGTTCGGAAATCGAGAACTGCTCATCAGTCCTATGACTCCTATCATGATTCGTCCGAATCAATGTCGCCCTAGAACTTCGTGCCTCTGTAGTCCTGCGGGATAGGCCGGTGTGTGTTTCGGATCTGTCTCGGACTGCGATGGTCGACCTCCTTATTCACATCTTGATCTTCTGACTGGCAGACCTGGTCTTTCCTGATGCGTGACATGACCTCGCCATCCCGTGCGGCAGTCCCGTGGAAGACCGCCCTCCCCTCCGTCAAAGAGGTATTCTTTGAGACCAGCGGCAATAGGCGGGAACCCACCCCGGCTTGATGTTCTGTGATCATCGTACCTATCCTCAGATGTGGTACACTCCATAGGAGACAGCGTTGACCATTAGCGAGCGACTCGTCGCCCTTTCCGCCAACGACTCCAGCGAGGGCGAGCACTCCCGGGTGGCGCCCAGCGGTCGCAACTATGAATCTGATTTGAGGCGTATTTATTTCCAGGTGTTGTCGTACTCAGACACATGAACATGCATCTATCCGTGTCCCCCTTCATGCTCAACGACTGTACGCTTCTAGATGCACGACCGCCATCGGATCAGGAACAAGCAAGAAGTCGAGTTACACCCGTATCGACGACGACGTGATGACACTATGACAATGATACTCCCCCAGTCTGATGTGGTTTGCTTCGTTCGCTTGAGAAATGTTCGATAATCCACGATAGCGACGGGTCCTTGCGGACCATATAGGGACACATCGATATCCATCGCCTGTGCTCCTCGATGATGGGCGCATAACAGCAACTCGCCACTTAGGCGAAGCCGCGGAAGGCGTAGCCGCATAGGTGACGAAGTCCGAGTGAGTTGTATCCGGTACATTCTCAGACAACGCAGAAAGTGACATAAGGTACAGCGGTCGGCACAGTATATCACGCGTGTAGAGGAAGACAGACACTACAGAATAGGTATGAGGATCAATCCGACGCAGTTCAAGTTCTGTTGATCAGTCCGTTCGGTGGCGCCTTATTGGGTGCCCATTGTAACACGTAGAGTGTTACTTCGAACTTGACCGATTGACCTTCTGCTCGCTGCGTGCACTTCTCCGTCTTTCATTTTCATGCAAGTGCTACAGTAATGAACGGGAGACCTCTGTTCATGCAAATTTTTGTACGACGTGGCTAAGTTCATCCGCGACAATCCATGATATGGAGACGATACTAACACCATCCGAACCGTGCAGCACCTCCATTGAATTATCCCAAGAAATACAAAAATTCTCGACAAGCGCTATGCTTCATGTTCTTCTTTGACGCAAAGTGTGGTTTCCAACATGTGCATGCATCCAGTCACGATATGCCACATATCCGGTTCTTGCACACTGGTGGAGAACGCGGGGCCATGACCATCCTACCAGATGTTGCTCCGCTCACGCAGCTGAGGCGCGACACTCGCAAAATGGGTACGAGAAGCGTGGCGATGTCCTAACGCGCCCGACAGTCAGCTCACCATTACAGCGATGAATGATGAAGGTGGGCACGTACGAATTACGATCGCTTCCTGGCGCCACTGGATACCTGGTGGGTGCAGAACTGAGGAGCGTCGAGCGGTCTGAGAGCATTGGCGAGTCAGTTGCCAAAGGAACACGGCGATATAGATTCGATACATACTCTTCCTATTCCTAAAGTTCCACATGTTATCATGTAGGTTCCGGCGAGATTCAACTTCGAGCTCCCTGCCCTGTTGGAGCAGAGGACAGTCTGCACCGTGCAGTTCATCTCGCAGGTCTTCACCGCGGCACTGTGTGAAAGAAGGCGTCATGCGGTCAAGAACACCGTCCCAGCAGGATTGACAGCGGGATGCTCACCGTTGCTGAGCAGTAGTAGCGTTCCCGGCAGGCGCCGCAGGCAATGAAACGATGTCCCATGTACGACTCCCAGACTCCACAGTGCGCGCATGCCTGGAGCATGCCTTCGGCGGGCATGAGAGCTTCAATTAGAGGTTTGGAACCCGCAGACTCTCCTGTCAGTTTGAACACGGCCCTGCCGCCTTCGTCTCGTAGGCGGAGGAGGTCCATGAGAGAGAGTCCTCCTGGGACACCGTGATACACGAAGCATGTCTGTCGCGGTGTTTCAGGAGAAGAAAGCGACCCGAGGTGCGATGCGACGAAGTTCAAGCAGTAAAGAGGGCAGGCGGGGAGCTGATGTTGATCTATCGCCATGAGAAACCACGACGCGTGGTGCCGTCCAATCGCAAGTTTCGCGCTCGGATTCAACGCCGTGTGCAGCTGCACGACGCAGTTCGCGCCTGAGGTTTTCCGTCCGTTCGCAGTCATAGCGGCTAGCCAGGGGAGGAGATTTCGCCAATCATCAAGACTTAAAATCGCGTATATCCTCGCGCGTCACGCCGTGGCGGCGGCGGAACAGGTTCTTGGACGGATCCTCGCCTGTTGAAGCATGGCACGCTGTGATGCAGATCCCACTCGAGAATCTTTCCACATGGGGATCAGTTCAGCATTCTGCTCGGATGCAGGAAGCACGGGGAGGGCAAAACAGTCAGTGCGACCACCTGAACGAACGTAGGATTTGGAAATGGAGCGATTAAGGGCGTCCGTTTCGGCTCACTGTGGAGACGCGTATACACGCCACGTGATCGTGACGCGTCGAAGATTGCGGTGGATCGTGTCGTCGTCCTCGATCGCGCGAGCTGAGTACCGTTTCCCGTATTTGCGCGCGCGTGTGTGCCGTGGTGCAGACGGATCAATGGTGAAAACACATAAGTACGCCAGTGGAACAGAACGCGGCAGCTTCTACTGGGCATTTGGCAGATGGGGGAGACCGCATGAGCGTCGAAGACACCTGTACGTTCTACGCTTAGAACGGAATCCGCGCGGGAGGATATGCCAGGAGACTCACCACGCAATCTGTCATCGTACAGCAGGGCCCTTGTTTTAACGTGCTTAGAGCTTCTAAGGTTTGCACAAGACACTGTGCTGCGCGCAAGAGGGACGCCTTGGATTAGCGGCTACGCCGGCCGCCACAATCAGCGAGGTAGTGAATCATCAGTAAACTTTGCAGGATTTTCCCTCTCCAGCGCCCGTCCGCGTTGTGGATGCGAAGCTTATGGTTGCACCACCCTCGTGCGAGTCCCTCGTGGGCGGTACATTCAAGACCGACAGGTTTGTCAACTGGAACGGATTGTTTCGATGACACCAATGTACAGAATATAGCACGGCGCCTGACGTGAAGCATACACCGATATCTTGTAGGTGCGTCGCCGATGGTCTTGCTCGCAAGACCACGAGAACGGTCACTGCATGAAGACTCGGTGCTGGGCTGATACTCGTATACTGTGAATACAAGACATGACAGAATACAGCAACGTCAGTGAGTACGCTGTTTGCTTGCTGTATGAAAGACATACCTGACTGTTTCCTCTAGCCTGCTGGTCGTTGGACCTGTACACGTGAGCCCTCTGAGGGGTTATTTACGGGCGCTTGGCGGTCGAAGGTCTACTGCTTGAGCCCCGCCAACGCAGATGGGTCCCAATACTGATGAGTAGATCGCTGTTCGTGGTCAGAGTCTACAGCGATGTGCAGTGAAGGCGGGATGCTCCCTAGGCCGGCAATACCGGCAGTAGGAGCGTGGGAAGACTGCAGCATGAGGCAGGCAGAGACGCCGAGGCGGGGATGGCTGATGGTGATGGCCTCGCCTGCGCACACACACCTTCTCTTCGTTCAGACGGCCTCCCTTCTTTGCTCACGACCACCGTCCCCAGCTCTCTGACACTGGCGACGACGACACACGCGACAGGACAATTTTTCTGAAATTTGACGCGACAGGACGTAGCTTGCGCTGTCACCATGCCGCCGAAAAGCATGTCTGGGTTCTTCCTGGGCGTCGAACTCGCCACGGACCAGCTGCGTGCGTCGATCGTGGACGAAAACTTGGAGCTGGTGGGCGTAGAGTCCGTAGACTTTGACACGGAGCTGCTGGAGTACCAGTGAGTCGTCCTCGTTGCGGCCGCTGCACTGCCTGGCAGAGAGGACATCGCTGAGACGCCGCGCGCAGGACGCACGGCGGGATCTTCACGACGCCCGGCGACGCGTACACGACGCCCGTCGAGATGTGGATCAAGGCCTTTGGTGAGTGCTTCACGGAAGCAAATCTGCTTTTTGTCTATCGACGCGTTACTCATTTCGTCACCGTGCGACCCACCTGCCCGATCCGTCGACCGCATACTGCATCGTCTGCGCAGACCTGCTCATGGAAAAGATCGGCAAGGGATACGACCTGGGGAGGATCAGGGCCGTCGGCGGCGCAGCCCAGGTATGTCGTCGCACTCGCTCGCCCGCGGTCGCACGCTCACAGGCGACCCCGCGCACGGCGCCTAGCATGCGCTCGTCTGGTGGCACGCCAGCCAAATGCCCCAGCTCCAGACGCTCGACCCTCGCCTGCCGATCCACACGCAGATCCCGCTCACCGCGTTCACGATGCAGAACACGCCCGTCGCGCAGGACACGTCTGCGCACACGCATGCCCTCGCGCTCGAGGCCGCGCTCGGTGGGCCGGACCTCATGGCCGCGCGCGTAGGGACGTGCGCGCATGCGTCGCTGCTCGCGGCGCAGCTCCTGAGGGTGCGCGAGGCGTGGCCCGAGATCTGGGCGCGCACAGGCAAGGTGCAGGTCGCGAGCAGCTTCGTCGCAAGTCTCTTCTGCGGGGCGTACGCCGGCATGGGCGAGGCGGAGGCGTGCGCGACGGGCCTCTGGTCACACTCAGGGCCGCAGGCGACGGGAACACCGAGCCACTGGGACGAGGGCGTGCTGGAGATCGTGGGCGGGAGCAGGGACGAGGGCAGGCGGATCTGGGGATGGCTGGGCGATGTGGACATCTCGGGCGGGCGGCGGAGAATTGGCAGCATCTCGCGATACCTGGTCGAGCGGTATGGTTTCGATCCCGGTGCGTAGTGTGCTCTTGCCCCGTCAAACGTGGCCCTCATGTTGCACTTGGCAGAAACTATCGTCACACCCTTCACGTCGGACTACCTCTCAACATATCTTTCCCTATGTCCCACACCCTCCGATGCTGTGCTCTCATTTGGCCCTATGGACGCCCTGCTGGCTCCGGCGACTAATTACATACCCACTCGTCTGTACACCCTCTTCCCACATCCTGCCCAGGACGCTAGCGAGCGGAGACGCTACGTCCTCATGCTATCAAGCAGGAATGCAGACGTTCCTCGAGCGCTCGTACGCGACATGTACACGAAGAGCTGGAGCGCATTTGACCGCTTGGTAGCCATCGTACCGCCCGGAGGATCAATAGGGTACGCATGGTTCTGACTTCCGCTGCCGATTGCTCATCTCAGCTGACGTCAACAGACTCGACGACAAGCTCTTCAGTTACTGGCTGCTCCAAGGAGACAGCTATCCCTTCTCACATGTGAAGGGCATCTTCCGTTTCGAGACTGGTGTGAAGGTGAACGAGTTCCGGGACCTCCGTGCGAACCCCCGGTGCCTCCTCGAGAGCCAGGTTCTCTCCTTCCGCATTCGCTGGTCCCGCATGCTCTCCACCGGTGTCCTCGGGCCCAACGCCGGCCGCGGCCGTGCCGCGAACGCCTCACCAAGCCCAGTGTCCCAGCAGAAGCGCAACCCGACGGGGTCGGCAAACAACATGGGCCTCCCGTTCGACCCGTACGACTACACGCCCCTCCCAGCACGCGTCCTCTCCACCGGGGCCGCCGCCAACTTCCCGTCCATCTCCAACCTCGTCGGCGACATCTTCAACGCGCCCGTCCTGGTGCCCACCACGCAGATCGACGGCGCACAGGTCGTGCCGCACCGGAACGCCCCCCACAGGGCTTCCCCGCGCGGGCTGCGCTCGGGGGCTCGTACGTCGCGCGGTGGGTGTGGGGCAAGGAGAAGGGCACGCCCGCGGGGACGGGCCGCGGCGGCTTCGAGGAGGAGATCCGGCGCCTGCTCGCGAAGCGCTGGGCGGCGGCGGGTGGCGCGGCGATCCGGACGAACGTGAACGCGCCGGCGGGCAGCAAGGCGCCGAGCGCGGCGGGGAGCGGCGCGAGCACGCCGTACGGGCACGGCGCGCGCTCGGCGCTCGGCGCGACGATCCTCGTGGAGGAGGACGAGGACGAGGGCGAGGAGATGGACAGGATCGGCGGGATGCAGGGCGCGTATGGGGCCGCGTTCGGCGAGGGCGACCTCGGGCGGATGCGGACGATGACGGGCTCGACGGCGGGCACGGCCATGTCGGGCAGCACCCTCGACGGGCCGTCCACGGCGTTCACCACGCCCGACTTGGGCGGGACGACGCCTACGAGCGGCGAGGCGCCCGCGCTCGACCCCGCTGCGCCGTCCACCCCCGCCGCCCTCACCCCCGTCACGGCGATGCCGACGTCCGACGCGGAGCTGCAGCTCGGCCTCGCGAAGGTCGCGGAGCCGGACGTGGACGCGTTCATGTCGTACGCCGCGATCGTGCCCGAGTTCTGCAGGCTCGAGGGCCTGATGATCAAGTCGCTCGTCTGACCGCGCGCGCCCGTGGATGTGGTCCCCTGGTCCCTGTGCTGCTGTGCTTTCGGTGTTCGTGTCGCTGTTGCTGCGCCCCCGCTGTGCTACTGCTGCTCGGTCTCACTCGCCTCGTCCCCTCTTCTCTCGTGCTGTATAGGTCCACCCCCACCCCTCCCCGCGCGCGTCTCGCCGCGTGGCCCTCCCAAAATTACATGTAGCGTTTCGTGTCTGCGGTCCACTATACCAAGGGCTGGGATCGCGATCGCAGGGCATGCTTAGTTATGGTACTCGAGCATATTGTGGTATTTAGATAGCAGTATTGGCGTATTGGCACTCTGTACTACCTCTGCAAACGGAGCGGCTTCTGCTGGCTTGTTCTCATATCTACGGATCATCCTCACTCGTGTTCTTGGACTCGCTCCTGGCGGTCTGTGCGAGCCGGTTGGATCGGCTTTTGGTCTGCGAAATAGGCAAGTGACAGGATGTCGAAAGGGCGCGTGGGCGTTCTCGAGTGGCATACCAATGCGTCCGATGCGTCATATCCTTCAGGAGCAAGGAGGAGAGATCGCCCCTCTACTTCGCATCAGTGTCAAACGCTGAATGCAACAATGTTCCCAATAGGATTCATGGGTGGTCCAGAATAC